TGGATTGTTTTAAGAATTGTTGTTGGAGAAATTTCCGTTTTGTTTTCTACATATATATGTGGAGGTGGAGCCTCATCTGGACTTCTAACAGTTGAGATAGACAGAATCTAGTTAGCTTCAACCATTGAATGTCACCAACGGTTGGGAGCTCAGTTTCAAAGACTGACTGCAGTGCATGAATTGGTGAAAGACACAATGAATGGCCCTTGAATTACGCACACACATGCTGACACATACTATATATATATATATATATATATATATATATATATATATATATATTTACCTTGAATGCTCATGTAAGAATATAGGTTACAGATAACCGTTATGGCTAATCTTCTATGTATGCTCTATTCATAGTAATTGTGAGGGAACTGATTATCAATGCAGATATTTGCATATGTACTGATAGAATTAATTCTAAGCGGCTAAGCGGTGTACATCTAACTTAGTACAATAACACTGTCTCTAATAGCTTGATGTGTCAATATGTCCTTCAGCCGCCAACTATATCACCACTTGGACCTGCGTACAATAATTTCCAGGTTGACTCTTTTAAACTGATGGAACTCCTTGGACCCGAGAAGGTTGATCCTGCTGATGTAAAGCTGATTAAGAAAGCACTTTTTGGTTATTCTACCTTTTGGGTGACCAAAGAGGAGCCTTTTGGAGACCTCGGTGAGGGCATTCTTTTCCTTGGGAATTTGAGGGGAAAGAGAGAAGAGGTATTTGCCAAATTCCAACGTCTACTGGCTGAAGTCACGGGTAACAAGTACAACCTTTTTATGGTGGAGGAACCCAATGCAGAAGATCTAGATCCACGTGGTGGTCCACGTGTTAGCTTTGGCTTGCTGCGGAAAGAGGTCTCAGAACCAGGGCCAACCACACTTTGGCAATATGTAATTGCTTTCTTGTTATTCCTTCTAACAATTGGATCATCTGTGGAGTTAGGAATTGCATCTCAGGTACCGTACACCAACTTACTTCTACTTATGAATATATTTCGTGATGTTATAAATGGGTCTATCAACAATTGAGTTCTTTCTCATTTTTAGATTAACTACTTAATATCGCATTTTATCAACAGATAAATAAACTTCCGCCAGAGGTGGTGAAATACTTCACAGACCCAAATGCCGTTGACCCACCAGATATGGAGTTGCTATCCCCGTATGTAGATTCCGCTTTGCCCTTAGCATATGGTGTTCTGGGGGTTTTGCTGTTTCATGTGAGTGAGATGTATTGCTGTTTCCTGTGTTTTGGTTCAAACTTAAAAATGTATTGTTTCATGCTATATACATGGATACAATATATATTGGCTTTAGCACTATGCTCTTTCGTTTCCATCAAGTGAAATTTTTAACCCCATGCATATGCAAGAGAGAGCTGATTAATTGTAATGTTTCTTTACATTGTTATGTATAATGTGTGATTTGATGTTTGCAAATAAAATGAACATGCTCATATGTGAGGGGCATGCTTATGAATAAAACGAACTAGATGCTCAATTTTGTCAGTTTCAAGTGAGTATATGATGACTAGCATATGTATTGTGTGAAAATTATGTCAATTTCTTTTTCAAAAAAATTCTGTCAATTTTAACCTTCTCCAAATGATTTTTTTTGAGTTTTGACAAATTAGTCCATATTCTGTAAATTGTGATCTTCTATTTGAATTTTACTTTTGTTCTTATTTGAATATGATTATGATGGAGTCAATTGCATGCAGGAAGTTGGGCATTTTTTGGCTGCTTTCCCAAACAAAGTAAAACTTAGCATTCCTTTCTTCATTCCTAATATTACTCTTGGTAGCTTTGGCGCCATCACTCAGGTACCTCTAATTATCCAAGTATAGCAATTTGAAACATGTCCATTTAAGAGACTTGTCTACATTGTTTAGTATACGATCTGAGGAGCGAATCATTCCTGAATGAATAATGTAAATTTGATCTTTGTAATCTATTTCTTCCCCCTGCCACTCTCCATCCTACACACGAAGTTACACATTTTATTTAAGACAGTGGTGGCTTATTCTATTCTGACTTTTTAATTTCTCCCATATTGTATGTTTGAATAAGCTAGGACTTTTATATTTATGTGATGGTTGTAGCTATAGGTATGTTGTATTTGATGCAGTAGTTTGACCTAGATACCTTTGCTCGAACTAGGTATATGTGCGCCTAGACCCTCTTATCTTTCTTGTTTTGTGATTAAGAGAATTTCTTCTCATCGGTCACTGGTTTTGTAGTTTAAATCCATTCTTCCTGATCGGAGCACAAAAGTCGACATATCACTGGCGGGTCCTTTTGCTGGTGCTGCGTTGTCATTGTCAATGTTTGCTGTTGGCCTGCTGCTCTCATCTAATCCCAATGCCACAGGAGAGTTGGTGCAGGTTCCGAGCACGCTGTTTCAAGGTTCTTTGCTTCTTGGACTCATCAGTAGAGCCACTCTTGGTTATGCGTATGTCCTTCCCTTGCCTCTGTAGCACTGTTAAACTGACCACCTTGTTTGTATGTGAGCTAAGAGACATCTATTGCAGGAATTTCGATTTGTTTCAGCTTTCACATCATACATTCATATTGACATGTTACCATCCTAAACATGCAGATCAATGCATGCTGCGACTGTTCCAATTCATCCTCTTGTGATTGCTGGCTGGTACTATTTCTGGACTAGTTGCTTAATAATTTCATTGCAATGCGTAACATACTCATGAATCAAGTTTAACATTGCAGGTGTGGGTTGACAACAACAGCTTTTAATATGCTTCCAGTGGGCTGTCTTGACGGTGGAAGAGCTGTGCAGGTGAATTTGCAAATTGTGCACATAATTTCTCTCTCTGTTTTCTTTTTATGATGATTTCGTCAAATCTATATTTAATTTGTTTTAGTTGTTTTTTCCTTTGAAGTTGCCTAAGGTAGACATTCAGCAGTGATGATAGCTGGATTCTAATGTGGCATATGGTATATCTCTGGTATTGTAGGGCGCTTTTGGAAAAAATGCACTAGTTGCCTTTGGCTTGACGACATACACCATGCTTGGATTGGGAGTGGTATGCCTAACTTTTACGACTTAAAAATAACGTGCTATTGTTTTGCTTCAAACATTAAGTTGCTTGCATTAGGTTTTTCATGTGTTCCAATATCATCTCTGTAATAACAGTTGTTCCAACTTCCGAGGTTCGTTAAGTTTGATTCTTTTTTTTTTTTTTTTCCCTTTTCCTTTCAGCTTGGCGGACCTCTGTCACTTCCATGGGGACTCTATGTGCTCATATGCCAGGTTTGCAAATAAGAATTTATAAATTGTGGTTTCATGCTTCCAAAAATCCTCTTTCTGCTACCGGAAAAGGATAAAAAAAACCTCCATCTCATGGCATTTTTTTATCATGTAAATGTTCAGAGGACTCCCGAGAAACCGTGTCTGAATGATGTAACAGAGGTTGGAACGTGGAGGAAAACAATTGTTACAGCGGCCGTGTTCCTTGTTGTACTCACACTTCTTCCTGTATGGGATGAGCTTGCCGAGGAGCTGGGTATAGGTCTTGTAAGCACATTTTGATGCATCATACGTGAGAGCCGATTTTTTGTTCGAGTCATTTCGATAGTGATCCAATAGCCATAAAGTTTGCGAATGCAATACGCATTCGATCTAGTAAAATTCCATTTTTTTCACTCTTTTTCTTATTTGATAGTTCTGATGTGCTAGTATTGTAAAGATATGAATACAGAACAACTGTGAAAGTGAAAATATTACAATCTAGTTGGTGGAAAATGTGGTTTTCATGTTTCTTGCAATCTGGAAACAACGAAAAGTGTGGGAGCACGCACGCCTGCCTAATCGGGCAGGTGCGACGTAGCATTGCAGGCCCGTAGGGGCGAGTACCTTTGCAAGGCTCGCGTAAGCTAGGGGCCAAATACAACCACCCTTGTTAATACGTTTTTTTTGAATTAAACGGCTAATTGACTTGATAATCGGAATAATAGTTCACACAATAATAATGATATTTAGCCATTCTAATCAAAAGACACTTTACCATATGATTAATGTTTCCGCATCGTTAGTTATTTTTAGGCATTCTAAGATAAGAAAATGATTGCCAATTAGTACTACGGTGGTATTTCTCTTCACTTGTAAGTAAGAGGTTTTAGGTTTGATTTTTGCCAAATGTGCATTTGAACCACATTATTACTAGCCTATTATGAGGTTAAGCCTATTCTCCCCTCTCTTAGTGTAGATAATATCGTTTGTTCAAAAAAAAAAAAGATAAGCAAATGATTTTCACGCACTTGTTTCTCTTTTTTGCAAATCTTTTTATTTTTGGTGTTTGGATCAAATGGAGTAAAGAATAATCACGGGGCAAAAATAAGCAGAGACGTGTATGAGGAGAAAAAATGTGTGCAAAAGTCATTTCACTTTTAAATTTCAGGTACGTGTTCGTATACTATATTCTCTCACAAAGATTTCAGGGCTCACAATATTTCAGGCCCTCCAAATTTCAAATGGTTTTAAGAACGCATCTCTTTGTTCAAAAAATAAAAAATAAAAAATCTCAAACTTTTAATTTCTCACATTGACCTTGATGTTTGAAATCATATCCATTTATGTTTTATGGTTACTCGACCATTTGTTCCTTCGTTAAATTGATAACTTTGACCTATTTATTGGTCGATGCAGGCAGAAGCAACATTTACACCACATGTACTAAAGTGATCATTATGGAGCTGGCTTCTCTCATAACGACAAACAATCACACAGTTCGGTCACAATGGTCCAATTGTGGCTTCTATGCAATCTAAAAACTAATTCCACCTTTGCAAGGCCATCAATTTAACGGAGGATCAAAACGGTTAAATAGATGACAAGCATTTATTGATATGGTTTTGCAAACTTCCTGGTAGGACGTGAGAAAATTAAAACCTTGTGACCCGTTTTAGATATGAAGGGTGTAAAATCTTACTCTAGGACATATATGGCGAACTGGGAAAAAAATGAGAGAGTATAGTTTGACCATAACGATCGATATAGATGATAGCAAGCGAACTTTGAAGAGTTTGCATGAAAAATATAGAAAGTTTAGACAAGGAAAATAAGGCAGAGAAAATTCTAAACTAATATCCATTATTGGCGAACAAGAGGGGAACTCGACTCTCTTCCTCATCATCTTCATCATCTTGGGATGGCCGCGAAAGCTGAAGAGGCTCCATGAAGCTCTGTGAAGATGGCGCCGCGTCGATGTCCAAGCTCGAGGTCAAGCTGCTCATGTTGATAAGGTTAGTGGAGGCGGAGGTGTTGTTGGAGTAAGCAGGCTGTAGCATTAGTGCCATGTTCATTTGCTGCTGCTCGTGCTGTTGCTGTTGCTGCTGCTGCGAAGTGATTTGGAGAGCATTTGCAATTGCAAACCTGCTGTTTAACAGCTGAGTTTGCACCATTGCTAGCTCGCCTTGCAAAGATGCAACCTGCACGATATTCATGTCACAACAGTTAAACTATATATCATATCAGTTAGCCATACGTATACGTTTCAATGAGTGTATGTGTGTGTATGGTTTGACTGTTTTACTGGTGATTTGCATCTTAACTGAAGCCTTCCGGTCATGACAACTCACGTCATCTTCATGAACGTTAAAGTAAACTTGTTTTCTTATCGATGCGTCATTCATATGACAAACCTCGAGTGCAACAATAAATACAATTTGTTGAATATATGCAATACTTTTGATGTCAGTAAAAGATGTTCAAAAGGTGACAAAGCTTATAGTTAAGCAATAATTAATTAGTATTGTTTGTAGGATATCAATTAGTGTTAACTTATGGAAAGGTTCGTAATCGTAATAAAGAAATATTGTGTTAATCTATCCACCAAGCAACTTAGTTTTCAAAAGAAATGATTGTTTAAGAAAACATCTATTGTAAAACCTCTATGAAGTGATACCCTATATAGTAATAATCTTCACTAGTTTTTAAAAAAATTCGGTCCCAACTTCGGCTAGTTAAAGATAGTTATATATAACTTCCATATTGTAATAAGTTTTAAGTTTTTTAGTCTCATCTTAAGAACTTGTCACCACATAAAAGTAATTGTCAATTAAGACATTTAAAACGACTCTTACGTATTTTCCTGATCATTACATACATGTATTAGCTATTTAAAACTGTCTTTCTTTTCTCAATGTTACATCTTGAAAACTGACGTGCTCCATTATTATTATAGTGATTTTCCTCTACTTGCAAAAAGATCTCCTCCTCCACAAGAATTAATAGGCCAATAATTTCCATGAAGGCAACAGATTAGAGAGAGATAATTTGTACGTGTAGAGATAATGGATGAAATAAACATGTTAATATACGAGTTATGAAACCTGTTGTTGCAAAGCAAGTATGGTGGAGACACAACCGTAAACGGGGTCGGAGAGCCTAGCTTGAGCCTCGTAGGTGATGGTAACGACAGCGTCATGCCGGCGGTTCAAGGGAATGTGCAACAAAAGCTTCGACACATTACTCGCCCCAAACACCTTGTGCACCGCGGCAAAGCGTGCAGCTCCTTGGTCTGAACCGAAATGGGGTGCGAATATGCACCCGCTTATGCACTTCCTCCTCAAAAACTTGCACGCCCCACATGGAGCTGCACCACTACCTGAACCTACTGCATTACTAGTTATTGTTGTCGTTCTGACTGCCGCCTTCATAGAAGCACGCTTTCCTCCCCCGCCGCTGGAAGTGCCCTTCCTTCGGCCCTCAGACTTGCCATTATCTCCTTGTACTGGCTGATCAGCCATCAAGTAATTACTGGAAATAATATTGGAAGGACTAGCTAATTAACAAGTTGGGCTATAGGTGTGTAGGAAGGTATAAATTAAGGGTAATTTAATTAGAGATTTAATAAGCTAAGGGAGGGGGGAGCAAAAGAGAAGGGTGGTGAGTTTGGTGCTAATAAGGAAACTGTCGGAGCTAGCAGTGCACGTTTGTCTCGTGAAATAGTTGGCAACCTGATGTGCTAAGCTTTTTTTTTTCTTTCCGAGAGAGAGAGAGAGAGAGACGTTATGGTTGGTGAAGTTGATGGATATTGAGTGAGTGAAATGTGAGTGGTAGCCGCATGGTGTGTCTGAGGTCCGCGTGCAAGGACCAGCGGAGTAATTTTTGGGTATATTTGGAATACTTGACATTACTATTTTATTTAACGTATAATACGTGAAATTAGTTTTTATTAATATAGTCCGTGAAATATATCAATCACATCATCTACTTTTATTTATAACACATCAAATGACGTGAAAATTTCAGTAAGTTTTATGAGAAGTAGTTGTTTAATTTATCATATTAAAATCTTAATTAGTTTTATGAAAAGTGGTTTTGTTAATTTATCCTATTAAATGGCACTTGTATGGAACTTGTGGAAGGTAGTCTTCGATCATGGAAAGGCAGGCAGGCACAAGATTTGTATTGCCCGCAGCGTGTGGGATGCGGAAAACCTCAAAGTGCATGGGTGCACATGTCATGCATAATCTTTTACCTGTAGTTAATAAAAAAATTAATAGAGAAATACTGAGCAAGATGTTTATGTTTTAATGAAGAAAACATGCACAAATATTAAGTCTGATATGATGAAAACATAACATGTCATTATGTTCTATTGATAATATATGCGACACTGGTCGTTCTTAAATTTTTATGGTCAAAGCAAAATGTTAAAAAATGACACATTCTATATTAAACGAAAAATGTTACAAATTTTATTTCTCTCTATGTGCTTTTTTTTATTCTTTTTATAGCTTTAACACAATCTAAATTTATGCTAAAATAGAATTATATAGGGATGTGATATCCACACACCCTATTTTACTTCTCACACACCCTTCTAATTTTCGGCCGTCGGATCAGATGAATTGAAGAATATCAAAAGATAGAAATTAACAAGGGTGTGTGAGAAGTAATTTGGGATGTGTGGATAGCACACCCCATTATATAAAGGCCTAGTCTGGTAATGTAGGCTTGTAACTAAGCAAGCATTAAGGTGATTGATGGGTAATGGATCCTTGATAAAGTAAGGCATGGTATTTGAAATATGTTCACCACCATATGGTGATATGAGATCCTTAAGCACGCCCTAAGCTACTCGGATTAGTAGGGCGACCCACCCACAATGAGTGTGTAGCAAACAAACAAACACATATTTGGCATACTGAAAAAAAAAAGCATATATATATAAAGAGAAAATTTACAGACTTAGAAGGAGAATGAGAGAAGGATAGATGGGAATAAAAGGTAAAGAACGTTTGCTTAGTATATGTAGTACGCTGAAAACATATATGATCCCTTGTAAACCAAGAAATTTGAATAAAAGGTAAAGAACGTTTACACTCCTTAATTTACAGTTGTGACCTAAAAACCAAGAAATCTCTAAACTGCTGCAGAACATAGATCACCAGCCGGCAAGGCATGGTTCGCCATCAGTTGATCCCTTTAAGGTCTTCAGTAACCTATGATGCCGGATATGAGTAATGCAACATCTTTCTCGGCGGAAGTCCTTAATTCTCTTTGTGTAGCTAGCTGTGGCATGAATTCTCAAGCATAAAAAATAAAAATAAAACTCCAGTAACTCACAACTAAAAGGTGAGGCGTGGAGGTTGTGAAGGTGAAACCGGAGAGCCCTCACTGCTCTGGGATTCTCCTCCTTGCCATGCATCCTGAACTTGTTCAGCATACTGCAAGTTCCACAGAACATCCTCAATAGAAGGCCTTTCTGCTGGATCCTTGCGTAGACATCGAACACAAATTTCCATCATTGTCTTCACTGACTGATCCAAGCACGTCTGCTTAACCCGTGGATCAACTACGCTTCTTCGAGCTTCATCATCAGCTGTTAGGGCCACTTGTAGCTGCATATCATCAACGAATATTTATAAGTTAACTACTTATCCCATATTAGTATATTACCGTTCCTGGCAAAGGAAAAAAGATGAACTATTTTCGGAAGTAATAAGGATATCAGTGCAAGTTTTTTAGAGTTCGATCTGAGTAATGGCCAGAATTTAGAGGAAACCTAAGCATTTACATAATAAGAAGGAAAGGAAGCTTTATGGTTGAAGGGATTGGTTTAAGAATTTGAAAGCTCAGTTGTCAAATTAGCCAACACTAAGTCTTCCATGAAAGGTCGAAAAACCATAAGGTCTGTGAGAGTATTGCAGGCGGCATGGGAGATATTGAAAGATCTTGTTTCCTGAAAAATTAAAATGGATCTTTTGAAGAAAATATAAGAAAAGCAAGTTTCTTTTACCAGATCTTCTAAAACCTCGATTTGAACCTCAGACTTCACCGGTCTCCCCTTGATCATTTCCAGCAATATTACTCCAAAGTCATGAACATCAGTCCTATCGTCTTCTTTCTTCCTGTCAACCAACATAGCACAATGTTTACAATGCAATACTGTGAAGGTAGCGAGAGGTGACAAGGTGTCGACAAGAACAAAGGCGTGCTAAGATTATGATCAAAAGTAATTAAAATTAAAAAGTTCCTATGAATGGTGCATTTAAGTGTTTTAGTATACATGTAGCTTAAAATGATTGAATATTTTCATTGCAGACCTTGCACCGGTACTGGAAGTTACAGATCCGCTTGAAGAGCCTCCATGACCACCCGGCGAGGAGGAGCATATCTGAAAACCAGTGCATAATGATTTGCCTCGAGAAATCGAATGGACAATCCCCCAATGAATTAATTACAACATAATGTTTTACCTGTTCCATATTTTCTTCTAACAGAGGAAGGTTGTAACTGCTAATTTTCGCAACAAAATTCTGATCCAGTAAAATGTCTGTTATTTTAAGATTATTTGAAAATACACCAGGCATGATACCCGTGTGCAAAAACTGAATGCCCTTTGCTACGCCTATTGCAGCTGCTATGCGTTGTGTCCACGCAAGTGATCGTCTGGGATGTCCCCCTTCCGAAGAGAAAAAAACAGAACGGAAAATTCCAGATAAATGTGTGAAATCAAAAGAAAAGGTCATGGTGGAGAAACTAAATAAAAGATTTCATGATGAGTTACCGGATATCCAGCTCCGAAGTGTGCCATTTGGTACATATTCGAAGACAAGAAATATTCTGCTGACGCTCGAATCATCCAAGTAACACTCAAAGCAGTGTCCAAGTGCGCTGACCAAATGGCGATGCCGTAGTTTCATAATTAGCTCTATATGGTGCATGAAAATTTCAGTGCTGTGACTTCCCTTCATTTTCAAACATCTGATGGCAACAAAAGAACCATCCTTCAACTGGCCTCTGTACATCTGAAACCACAAAAGGAACAAAAACACCAGCTAACGACCATTAATTTAAGATCGGAAGAAATTCTAATTCTACGATGTGATTCATAGTTAATCACACAAAACTGCATTCAAAAGCTCAATACCACTTGAAATTAAAAGGTTTATGTTATGTACCTGTCCATGTGAGCCTTCACCCATGAAAGTAGATGTATCAAAGTTTTGTGTAGCGTCCTCAAGTTCCTCGAGTGAAAAGGTTCGATAACCTGGAAGGCCAAGCGCTCCCGTCTTCATTGTTTGAGATATATATCCTTTAGGCATAAGCAGAATATCAGACGATCAGACATTTTGAATAAACTGGAAAATTTAACCAATCAACATCCAGTACTTATGTTTTTCCTTTCTCATCATTTATTTTTGCGTGTATGCGAGTGTGCGCGTGTGTGAGCGACAGAGAGATGAGAACTTACTTGCATCTGATAGTAACTTTGAGGTATATCCACTTGATGCATTCTCTGTTATTGATCTTGTTGGAGATTTCTTCATTGTCTTGTTGGTATTCATTCTTCTATTTACGAAGAAGATTAGACCGACAAGTAGAACACCTCCGAAAAGTGCTCCAATTATACCCAAGGCAAGGGCTGCTTTGGAGGCTTGCTTTCGCTTGCTTCGGTCAGGTACTATTCCAACAGCTAACGCCTCATTGTGGCAAAATGGAAGCGGATGTTGATTTTGATTACTAGTAGCTAAACAATTGCTTGCATACAGGAAAACCTTGTTCTTAGAATCCGACTCAAGACATTTTGGCAAGCTTCCAGTCAAAAGATTCAAGGATAAATCCACAACTTTAAGTTCAGCATTGCAAGATGAATTTTCGAAAAGCATTCCTGTGAATTTATTTCCTGAAAAATTAAGGTAAGTAATCGAAGGAAGAGATAGCAGCGATGGAGGAAATGGCCCCACGAACATGTTGGAAGAAACGTCTAGACATTGTAGCTGATAATAGGAACTCAATTCAGGAGGGATGGAAGACCGAAATTTGTTCTTTCTCAGTACAAGGGTGACCAACTTTTTCCCAAGTTTCGGAAACTGAGGTCCAAAAGCATTATCTCCCACTTCAAGAACTTGAAGGTTCGTCAAACGACTAAAATCAGGCAGTTCCCCATAGAAGTGGTTATGAGAAAGCCCGAGAAGTCTAAGACTTTCCAACTCACTCAATGAACTCGGCAAGGATGAATTGAACAAGTTCTTCTTCAAACTCAAAACAGATAAAACCGGAAGTGAACCCAGCCCTTCTGGAAGCAGTCCAGAAAACATGTTGTCATCGAGTATAAGCGTCTGGAGGCTTGTTAGAGAGGAAAGCTCTGGAGGGATGGTGCCATACAAGAAATTTGAAGTCACATTAAGTATTTCGAGTGATGATAAACGCGCGATTTTACCAGGCAAGTTTCCCCATAAACCAAGAGAGACCAATGTGAGGACCTTCAAGCTCGGAAGCTTAACCAGAGTTGTTACAAAGGAATCAATTGAAAAGTTTCGGGGCAACAAAGGAGCAGGTTTTTTGCCGATTATATGCAGCTGGGTTATGTTCCCTTCGTAGCATGAGACCGCAAAAGAAGAATTCACTTCAAAGTTGCAAAAATCTGTGTAGTTATTCAAGCTTTTCAAGACGGTTGGAAGGTTTAGGAGTCGCGTAATTCTCAAAAGGGTCTGAGCTTCGGAGGATTGGTGCTGTTCGGAATCATGAACTGAAAATATAATGATAGCAAGAACCAAAGGCAGAGAACAGAGAGAGCGTTTTGCCATAGCAGTTCCAGTTACTGCATTCAGCTTCCCAAAACCATATACAATGATATATAAATAAAACATATATAAACATATGATCAAAATATAAGAAATTCAAGTCTTCGTTTATCAAATTCCAACTGAACATTCTGTTTTATCGATTTCGCATCGGAACACAAGTTTATGCAGGAATCAAAGAATGTTACCTTAGCTCAATGGATTGAAGATTGAACAAACAGCTCAATGTGACTTTGAGATCCAAACAAATCCAGGAAAATAACGATGATATACAAATCCACAAGCTATTGCTTTTCCAAATCCTGTGAAAACAAATTAACAAGATAGATACGTTCAGAAATACGAGTCATTGGCCTACTACTAACCACACCACACCGGTACGTCAAGATTTCGTTGGTTACAATTTTACTAAACAAATGATTGTTACTTCAACTTCAAAAGAAAGTAAATATTCACCAAAAACTGCTCCAATAAAAACATACAAATCCCCTCCAACAAAAGAAAGGAAAACTTTCAAACTACAACACAAACAGCAAGTTTTCGACCAAAAGAAAAACCAACTCAGATAATTATTAAACAGAAACAAATTTAAGCAAAACCCAACAAAATATAAAAAATAAATAAATAAAAAAACACACTGACCTGCCTATTGCAGTAAACCCCAAAGTTTTGTGAACCACTCGGTGAATCCAACAGTCGGCAGTTTCAGAGGTGCCTGAAAATCTTAGTGACTGACACACGAAAGAGATGGAGTTTCTTCTTCTCTTCTCTCTTCTCCACAAGTCAGCTTCTGGTTTGCTTTCTGGTTGTAGTTTGCATAACACAAGAAGACAATCTAGTGACAACTTGAAACTGACGTTTTTTTTTATATTTATTTGAGTAACTATGTTTTTGTATTATATTTTCATATCATATTCTTTGAATTAATCAGATTTTTAAATTTAGTTCATTATTTAATAAACTAATAATTAAAAAAAATTAGTTAATTAAATGATAATTATGGTATACGAAGAAGTTTTCTCATCTAAGATGGTATAAAAATATGATATGAATAGTATTATTCTAGTTATTTTTCTCTGTGTTTTTATTTTTGCCCTTCTGGAATATATTCTTGTGCTTTTTGGAAAGCTAAACTCAAAGGGCAGCCATGGTTGGACTGCAACTTGAAAGCAAAAGCAAAAAAAAATATTCTTTCAGAGGAGAATGGAAGCTTTATTTCACTGTAACTGTCTGTGAGTGGGGAAGATTGTCTAAGAGCATAAATATAAAAAATCACGTGGAAAAATGGACAAAATTAAATACGATTTATCTTGTTTTGTTCTGTTTTTAACTCCATCGAAACCTTTAACGATAAATCTCTACACTTATTTGTGAGTTTTCCGGGATACAGGAAAAATTCATAAAGATATTTTAATTTCTTTTTAATCATCATCGTGTGATTAATCGGAATCGATAAACTACTGATCCGTTTTTATGAAACTTTGACAGAAATCGATCTACTGATAATATTCTCATAATTCCAGATTGATTTCGAAGATTATAATTTATTTAAAAAATGGGAAATAGTAAAATAAAATGGTGTGCAGGGCAAAGAGACAAAGGCAACAGACCGGGTGTAAGCTTTCGCTTTCTCGGTGTGGTGGTGTGGTAAGCTTTGGCTTTCCATCCACCTGTCACGTGCTGGTGTAGCCCTGGCCCACCCTCTCTACCTTTTTCTACTTTCCCTCCTGCAGCAGTCAACTCTCTCTCTCTCTCTCTCTCTCTCTCTCTCTCTCATTTGTAATTTGTCCCAAATAAAACTTGTTACACAAGGTTTTAATTAGTGACAATATAATATAAATATGAACTGCACACAAGATTTGATTGATTTAAAGATCAAACTTTGTGTTCTGAGACGAGCTGGTCACAATTAACTTTAAAAAGAAAATTTATGAAAAATATTTGAAAATTTTGAGTTTTAACAAAAATGATAAAATAAATAGTATAATGAATAGTATCAAGATTAACTTTTTAATGTAAAAATATGATTTTTAGTTAAAATGAACCGTAAGTTCCTTACTTTAATATCTTACGAACCCTTCATTTCATGTTAAATTTTTATTATTTTGTCTTGATTTTATTTCATTTGTTGCAACATCTTCTCGTAGCTGAAGAAATTGTGCGACATCATAAGGACAATGGAGGTCAATAAGGAAAAGCATTTTCCAATGTTTTGTGTGTGTTGGGACACAATTGGAGACTTTAGGTTCTAAAGACCCACTTATTTAAAGTGGAAGAATCAAATAACAAGGAATTGAGAGCTTTTTAACGTCACACAATCACACATATTCTTACCCTTTTTTTTCTTTATACAAATTAATCGATAATGAGGGAGGAAGAATCTTGAGTTAGGGATATAAGTTGTTATCTAACTCAACAAGTAATATTAAAGATGATGAAATCGAATTTAACATCTCGTAAGAATGAATGTTCTTAAGTAACTCAGCTACAAACCTTTTTTTTATCCTTATCTTTTTTTTTTCCTTTCACTTTCATAATCTAGGACTTGACTACGGTATGTACATTTATTTTATACATTCATCATCTAACGGTTAGATATGATCAGATATGTAATATCCCATTTTATTATTTTTACACATTTACTAAATACATTCACCATCTATATTATTGTCACATCCCGGCCCGGGTCCACCACATCCCGGGCCCGTTCCACCACCGTAGCACGATATTGTCCGTTTTGGGCTTACCATTCCCTCACGGTTTTGTTTTTGGGAACTCACGAGCAACTTCCCAATTGGTCACCCATTCTGGGAGTGCTCTAGCCTCCTTCTCGCTTAACTTCGAAGTTCCTACGAAACCCGAAGCCAGTGAGTTCCTAAAAGGCCTCATGCTAGGTAAGGATGAGAATATACATTTAAGGATCACTCCCTTGGGCGATGTGGGATGTTACAATCCACCCCCTTAGGGGCCTGACGTCCTCGTCGGCACACTTCCGGCCATGGATTGGCTCTGATACCAATTTGTCACATCCCGGGCCCGTTCCACCACCGTAGCACGATATTGTCCGCTTTGGGCTTACCATTTCCTCACGGTTTTGTTTTTGGAAACTCACGAGCAACTTCCATGTGGGTCATCCATCCTGGGAATGCTCTGTCCTCCTTCTCGCTTAACTTCGAAGTTCCTACGAAACCCGAAGCCAATGAGTTCCCAAAAGGCCTCGTGCTAGGTAGGGATGAGAATATACATTTAATGATCACTCCCCTGAACTATGTGGGATGTTACAATTATGAATCGCATATTTACCATCTATCCCAAGCTACCTAGACAGATCAGGCGCACCTTTTCATCTTTTCTACTTTTTTTTCCTACTTCGTATATCCTATAGTTATAGTAGCTTCGTGGATCTGTCAGGTTCTTGCGTCCCTGTGCTTAGAGTGAGTCCAGCTTGAGTTTTAGGTATTGTCAAATATGATATTCTCTTTTTTAATTGTATAATTAACCGTTAGTTGACGAATATATTAAGTAAATACATGTACTATAGCGAGCCTTGATTATTTCCCATGTATTTCAGAGGTTCAAGCCCATAACCATTGACAATTCGTTGTACACTGCAAGATTTTAAATGGAGGGTGTTATTTTTATATTACAACGAGGAGGATAGATTGGGTGCCTGATTAGATATGCTTTATTAAAGGTGTAGGCCCCCTGGTCCAGGAGAGGAGACCCACCTACACAAACGTCATGGTCTCTTTTCCACTTGACCTAGGACTCCTGTGGTCCTATTTCAACCCCTACATTAAGGTCCAACCCACCCCTAATTTGTCTTGAAGCCATAGATCCCCCTCCCCCCTCTATACGCTAAAACTCAAAAACTCGAATCTCCTCACCCCCCCCACGACGTAAGATACTCTCTCTCAACACCACAATTCATTACATTTCTATACGCTAAAACTCAAAAACTCGCTCGAATCTCATTTAACTCTTTGAACGTTAGACAGCATCTTAGAACTCAACTCGAGTCTTACGTTGTTGTTCAAATAGGTATTGTATAAGTGTGATGTGATTGAAAATTAACAAAAATCAATTTATTTATTTTTATTTTTATTCAAAGTTTTCTTATCCAAATAAGAAAATAAAACTCTTAACAAAACTTTTCAGGAGCTCATGTCGCATCCAACCAACAAGAGTTCTATTCGTAACTGTTTTACCAAGTTTTATTAAACGGACTTTAACAGTAGAAGGCAAAGTGAGACATGACACGAGTTTGAGTTTCAGAGAATTACGTGACAAAAGTTGAAAAACAACAAAAAGTAACGAGCAAACCACCTTATTAAAAACATGAGCTCTTTGAGCAACATGATTCTTCAAATACTAAAAATAGGAGAAAGAAGAAACAATCAGACAGCTCAACAACCGCCTTACGTCACAATGTAGTCAAATTCATAAACCATGAACTTAAAGGTTACCAAATCCACCTAAACTTTTTTTTTTCTTCTGAAAATCTGTAAAACTATGGTACATAAGCAATATAACAAAGTAATGAAATGAGAGAAGAAATCATCTCCGGATCTCTTCTACCAAGACCACCGAATCAAGTGATCTACACCTTTGAAATTTCATCCAACGGCAAAAAATTATTATAGATTTTAAGGGGTCAAAACAGATGACCGTTGGATGAAATTTCAAAGTCCCGAATCACTTGATCCGGTGGCCTTGATGGAAGAGATCCGCAGAGGATCCCTTCTCATGAAATGAAGCTCTACAACCATTTTATCTTAATTCAAACACTGTAGGAAAATGAGAGACTTCCGCCTAGATCGGAGCGTGGAGACGAATAAATACTCGGAGGGCATACATCGGGAGAGCTACGACCTCCTCTTGGTAACTTGTGGACCCAAGTACTCGATTCTATCCATTTTTGCGTACTCAGGCATTTCAATCTCTTCCAACCACCAGTAACTATCGTGTTTCTCTTCAGTTTCCGCTGCTCCTCCATCTGCGTCGAATTGGCAAGCAAATAAGATATAGCTTATAAACTCAAACGTGCATCAAAATGCCAGTAACAAGTTTCAGTATTTTAACAAGTCTCAGTAACAAGTTTCAGGAGTTCAAGTTTCTTCAATGGTTAAATAGAATGACCGAGGACCGTGCCTAAGCAGCCTAAGCAGAAAATGGTCAGGTTAAATCATCAACATGTAGCTGGAGAGTTTCAGAGCTGTACACATATACTAGACGTATACTGGAGAAGCGAGTGTTGAGAATATAAAAACATTCGCTCTACCTATAGCCAATTGAATTTGAGTTCGATGCTCTAAATTTTTAAGAGGCCTCATCTCGTAGGTTAACATTCTCTTTTGTATCGCCAAATGGCTCACCAATTGCATCATGCACATCTCTGATGGTTCCTACATTCTCCCACATTGATTGTGTGTAGCTTTTATAAATGCAAGTCCGAGAAAAATTCATACACATCACCCCATAAATTGGTTGTTTTCACAACAGATCAAAGCAAATAAACTATTTGGCAACTTGTCAAAAAAGCAAGAGTTCACTTACTTGAACAAGCAGCATAGGGATGGTCTCTGTAATACGTGCAATCCCGGCCATCTTCTTTAGAATAGGGTGGTCCCATCACATCGAGCACTGCACATGGTGTTTTGGCTGTGAAGGCATGGATGTTGCCACCTTCTGTTGGATAAAGTACTGATGCTTTGCATGAGGCTGTGAAGACATCATTAGCTTTCAACTCGGCCAGTCTCACTGCAAAATCATCCTACTAATATTAGATACTGGTTAAGACAGTCCCAGATAGTTTTTATTTTCGTTTTAATTCTACAGGAGAATGATATCGACTCACATTGAGGCGCTGGCGTGGAGCCATCTGAATTTACGGGATCAACCCAATCGTATGATTTAATATGCATCTCGCCTAATAGAAGCTTACTGAAAACAGTCATATCTGGATGGTTATGGAGTGGGATAACACCATTTGCCGGAATAAAAAAGCAGCACAACTGCACATGGAAATAAACAGCAGAACCAATCAACAATCGACCAAGTAAATACCGGACCAACTAGATAGAAGGAAGTAATAAACTTACCGAAAATTTGTTGCACTCATATATGGTTGTATACGTGACCCTAGGAGTCCCTTTCACAACAGCTTTACGCTTGAAGAACTGCAGATCCCTACTTAGCCCAACATCTTCTGGTCTCATATTATCTACAGCAACACAATAAAATCGGCTTGTAAAGAAGATGGCGGATGTCCACATTAAACAAGCAGTAATGCAATCAACTCGGACAATGTTTCCTTCACGCATGAAATGGGTCAAATATTTATCCGGACCACATATCACTTTCATACATAAAAATTCCGTGCTAATGCTTGCCTGCCCCTCTCCTTAATCTTTTCCCCAGCATTACACACACGCACGTCCACGTATAGATAATTGTACGCCATGAGAACCTAGATTCATTATCCATTGCAGGCTACAACATATTAAATCCGACACATTACCCCGACACGCCACCAACTACATATTAACTAAGCAACTCAAATTTGCAATTTTTCCTAAAACGGAACGAGGTTTATATTTCCTAGATATAGCAACGTTATCAAATTCTTTCCTATCTTTGCAAATTTGGACTTTTTCCTAAAACAAAAGGACAGGAAATTTTGTCCAAGCACAGATGTACGCACATACATTATACATAGATCGAAACGCCACAGATAGGAATTCGAATAGACAAAAACATATGACCATATTCTCAACGCTCCTAGTACAAGATTCTTATGATAAAATATCAATCAAACATAAACGACAACGACATGTGACTGAATTAATCAAAAGTAAAGTACGAAACTTGGTAAATCCGAAAAACGTACCGAGGATGCGACACAGCTTGTGCACATGGTGAGGCAAAGGAACGTTTCCGGGGCCTTTGAAAACTTGTCTGCACGCACGAAAGAGCTGTTTCAGCGGAGTTGGAACCTTCGACGGCGGCATCTGATGTCTTCCCTGCTCCACCACCCTCGCAGTCTCCATAGTGATATATTCACTTCAGATGCAGCACAGAATTTCTCCTTCAAACCCCAGAATTCAATATCCAAATTGAGAAACAAAGAAGCAAGAGAAGCAACCGATCCGCAAAGCAAAGATTAATTTCAGAATGGTCGAAGGTGTTTGATGAAATGCCAAAGAGAAGTGGGGCGATGATGATACCGTGTAACAGTGGGAGGGAGGGGGACATCTACGATCATATATAATGGATCGAGCCATCGAGAGAGAGAGAGAGAGAGAGAGAGAAAGGAGGAGAGAGAAACCAAAACCAGGGGCGGCACGGATGGATGTGGTGCGGAAGAGGAAGAAAAGTTGGTAGATTGTGGGAAAAACCAAGGAAAAATTAAGAGACAAGGTTCTGCAGTTCTGCCATTTGTACCCATAGATTTGGGTTGAAACTAGGGGCTTTGGGCTGAGCTGGTCACGCCAGGATGTGAAATGACCAAATTGCCCATACACGATGGCGAATACTGTTGGCTTTGACCGTTTATTTGGTAATTTGGCTGGGAAAATATCTTGCTCATCACCACTATCGTCGACCACGTGTCACTCTCTCTGGAATCAATTGTTTTATCGTATTATTATTCTTTTTTTTTTTTGGTTGTTGTATTATTATTCATACTGCGGCTTATTCTCTTTACAAAACTTCGGGGGTTGCTTCTAGGTAAAAGCACTTTTTGGCAGAAAGTGTCAGTGTTTCTTCTAAAATACGAATACTCTCCACTCTCAAGAGAGAAATTTAAGTTATGAAATGCATTGTGAATGCTACACATATATTTGTGCAAAAAACAACCTAATCAAAAAGGATTTTGGTGAAAGTCAAATGTACTAGCAGAAGAGAACTTATTCTATTTATATGAACAATCGTTCACCTCCTTTTACGTTCTCTTCAAGCGCAACCGTTTTAGTTCATTCAAATTATAAAAAAAAAACTTCATGATTTTACTTACGTGTATGAAAAAATGATGGTGAAACAATTTCTCTTAATAAGTGCATATTTTTAATCTTACGTAAATATTTGATATAAAATTACTATTTTGCCCTTCTTATGTAAATATTGTGTATTAAAAGTGAGGGCAAAATAGCAAAAAAGGGAAAAAGGGAAAAAGATACATAATTACTATTTTGCCTTCCTGATGTCAATATTGTGCATTTAAAAGTGAGGGCAAAATTGGAAGAAAAGAGGGCAAAAAGTTGACAAGTCCTCTTCTCTTAATAGAATATAGAATATATAAATAGATTAGATGAAAATGTTGGAGGGAGGTGAAATACTTTCTTCTTCTATATAGAGCTCATTTTGATGTACTTTTAAAATGACCGAAAACACATTTGGTGAAAATATTTTTAGAACTAATCCTTAGTTAAAATGTAAGTAAATCCTAGAAAAACACTTAAAGTACTTCATGGAAGAAGCACATAACTGGTGCTTCTTACAGAAAACACTTCGAGTGTTTTTGGAATCCAAAAACATTTTCTCTAAAAACGCTTTCAGTTATTTTAAAAGCACATCCAAACAAGCTCATAAGAAGTTGTTGGATCAAATTCCTATAAATAGAAGCATGTCTGTAACTTCATTACAACACATCAGATCAAGAGTGATAAACAATAATACCACTATCCCCCTCCTCTCTTTACCTACATCCTTTGTGTTATACATTGTACCCGTTCTGCTTCTATATCTATCAAAAGTTATCTCTCACTTTTGCCTATTTATAAGTTATGTGAATTGGTTCACTTCACAACTATTTCTTATTTACTAACATATATATTTGAATTTTTTTTTAGTTTTCTTGTAAATCTATAATAAAATATTAAAACATCAAGAGAATGGCATGTTTCTTAGAGAACTTGTTATTTCCAGATCCTTTTTGTGAGAATTTCATAAATATGTGAATAATATATGTTCATCGTACATTGTGCGATCAGAAATTATTTTAAATATTTTTATTTAAAATTAACTACAAACAGTACCTGATAAAAACTGACCGCACGATGTATGATGAACAAACACGATTTACGGATCTCCAAGATCCTCACCAAAATGATCCGGAGAGGATCATGTTGGGTTATTTCCTTCTCGCATTTAAGTAAACATGTCTTTGCAGATGGTATTTTACCACATTAAAAAGTTGTAATTATGCCAATGCATCTTAGTGCGGGTTTGATTCGTATCAATATCCTTTTCTTTTTTACCACTAACAATTTAACACGTTAAAAGCTATCATCTGTCAGAAGAAAAAAAACTAATAAACATGTCATTTATGTAGTGAGTATGTACCGACTTTTATCTCTCTCTCACATTACAGGCAAAAAGAAGAGACAGCAGCAAGAGGATGCGCATTCAGTTGCATCTAGCTTTCAAGCAACAAATCCATTATCTAGAATAATTTGACAAATCCATTAACTAGGATACACATTCTCTCATACACTTGAGCGACCAATCCATTAAGCAATTAGAGAATACACATTCTAATATTCAATTTTAATGGCGTCACCTTCCAATAAATACTTTTCATTTGTTCGCAAATATAATGATTATTTATTGAAAGACTACCGCATGATGAAATAGTGACATAAGAGAATCTCGCCGGAGATAGGGGAAATTTGGCTAGTCCAAAAAGCAATAAGTGCCATAGGGCTTTCTAGCTTTCAATTCAAGTAGCAAAATCCATTAACTAGAATAATTTGACAATTTGATTAGAAATTTAGAAATAGGTATTAACTTGAAATTGACATGTTATAATTACGCTCAATTGCATAACTTTCAATTTACTTCTCTTTCTTAACTTTCAATTTTGTTGCATTTCTTTGGACTACTTGAAAAATTATGTCATTCCTACAATATTACAGAACAAATCTATGCCGGAAACTTAACGAAATGTCGCACTTCTAAGAAGTTGTTGGATTTTGGTAACAATTATGTGAATCAGTTCACTTCGTAACTATTTCTTGTTTACGAACATACATATTTGAAAAATTGTCAGATTTCTTGTAAATTGTAATAAAATATTAAAACATCAAGAATAAGGCATGTTTCTATGTTCTTTCCTTCTCGCATTTAAGTAAACATGTCTTTGCATATGGTATTTTACCACAGTGGAAAGTTGTAATTATGCTAATGCATCCTAATGTGGGTGCGATTCATGTCAATCTCCCTTTCTCTTTGACCACTAACAATTTAATACATTAAACGCTATCATCTATCAGAAAAAATAATAATAAAAATGTCTTTTATGTAATAGTATGTATCAGCTTTTGTCTCGCTCTCACATTACACGTAAAAAGAAGAGATACACATTCAGTTGCGTCTAGCTTTCAAGCAACAGATCCATTAATTAGAATAATTTGACAAATCCATTAACTAGGATACACATTCTCTCACGTACTCAAGCAACAAATCCATTAAGAGAGCAACTAGAGGATACACATTCTAATATTCAATTTAAGAGCGTCACGATCCAATAAATACTTTTTATTTGTTCAGAAAGTGCAATGACTTTATTGAAAGACTGCCGCCTGATAAAATATAATTTGATTGAAAGGCTGCCGTGTGATAAAATAGTGACATAAGAAAATCTCGCCAAAGATTGAGGAACTTTGACTGGTCCAAAAATGCAATAGGACTTTCTAGCTTTCATTTCAAGCAACAAAATCCATTAACTAGAATAATTTGACAATTTGATTAGAAATTTAGAAATAGGCATTAACTTAAAATTGACGGGGTTCACATTTTTTAATTACGATCAATTGCATAACTTTCAATTACTTCTCTTTCTTAACTTTCAATTTTGTTGCATTTCTTTCGACTACATGAAAAATTCTGTCATTCCTACAATAATACAGAACAAATCTATGCCGGAAACTTATCGAAATGTCGCACTTCTATTTCCGGTTGCTGGAAAAGCTTGGCGTCGCCTACCCTGTCCTAGTTCTTTTGACCCATCGTCGTTTGAAACTAGAGCAGCTAAAGATTTTTTCTTTCCCGCTGAGTTTAAGCTCTTCACACCATCCGCAGCTCCAGCCTCTTTGACCGGCTTAGCTCCGAATATAACCTGACTCTTTGCTGCCTCATAGTCGAAAGGCTTCACCTGCAAACCACCAGATTCCTGGGACTTCTCCACTTCTCTTGTCTTCCTGTTTTGGTTAAGCGACTGAAAACATTTTTGGAAGCTCGACGACAAATCAGAGAGAGACACGGGTTCGTCTTCCCCATCCCTCCCCCAAGCAGATGGTACCGAATCATTCTCCTCCGGCTCATTTCTGGTTTCTGAGGAACCATCTACCGGTTCACCTCCATCTGAATCATTTTCCAATGTTATGATGTCACCTAAACCAGAACCAGAGGGTGATGCAGTAAGCGGACCTTCAGAATGGGGAGTTTCTGAACTTTTATCTCGTGCTTCCAAGGTTGGTTTGGATTTCTCACTCCCGCCCGAAAATGAGTGGAATGGGAAGTTCACTGAAGATCTAATTTGTTCCAACTTATTATCTTCCTTGCCCTAGAAAGAAAATTAAGAACACAAGAGTTAATAATGTACCGAGTTACCAAAGAAGATTCCATGGAAATTTAGCTGTTTAAATATAAAAAATAAAATAAAAAAAACCACCACCAATATATGATTCAGTTGACAACGTAAAAAAGGACCGTTACTGATCACTTAAGTGCTTGATGTAGAAGGTGAACAATCTATATAACAAGACATTTGTGGTTGCAATATTTCTATTTGACTCGACTTGTAACGCGCAAGATTTAGGCCTAGCTGCGATTGCAAGTAATACAAGACAAAGATGGCCTATTCCATTTCAGGCATACAATTTACAGCAGTGTTCTTACTAACCTTTATATCGACATCGAACTTCCTTTTTGGAACTGCACTCCCCAACAGTGAACTAAAGGCACGGCTGGGCTTCTTTTGCACCTGAACACTCACTCCAGTAACCTACAACAGAAATAGACAACTATTTTAACACTAGAGCTCTACAAGCAAGAAATATAACAAGATAAAACATCCAAAAGAAGCAAATGGATGTCAACCTTCGCTGAATCTAATAAACAGGCATTGCTGCTTCCTTCTCTGCTTTGCCCCAGAACACTGTTCTGCCTAAGATTCACTGAAATGGGACTGCCAGTTTCAGGAGAGTTTCCTTGTCCATTTCTTACAAGTTCAGAGGCACCAAATGCAATCCCCTTATACTCCATTCCATGCTGCTGAGACGGGGGTGAAACTACAGATACATCACCATTAGTCGAATTGCTGACAGACTGATCCGGTAACAAGGCTTCAGATCCATCATTGACCAATATATTCTCTTCAGATGCCTGCAAAAAGTGTACTGTTAACTATAGATAAAAGTGAAGAAAAAAAAAGTCATCGCCAAACACCTGAAGAATGGACTACTGTCAAAATTAATAAATTTGAAAATGAAAGGGGTGAAAAGGACAGTGATTTTATCATGATAGCATAGTTAAATGGCACCCGACCCGATACATGAAATTGATAGATTTTTGTTCATAACATTCCGTAGGTAACCTGAATGAAAGCCTAATAGGGAAAGGCAAACATGAATGCCCAGTCTTCATGATCACCAAACAACTAAACATAGGGCTTACCATTCCTGCATGTGCCACCTTCAGATGTTCGACAGCAGGCTCAAAAAAAGCAGCATTTTGCATAGAATGTCTAATGATACTAACAACTGAACCAAGATTACGCTCAATGTACGGGTGCTTTGATTTCACCAATCGCTTTAACTTGCTAGTGGTGACAGGCATCTGTTTAGCTTTTACAGACAAAAAAGTAAAAGTAAATAAGTCGGATGTCTACTGTGTAAAAAGAGAAAAGAATTAATAATGATCTTGAAAAACAAGGAATTGAGTACAAGTAATACCAATTTCAAGAAGAGTTTTGTTTGGTAATATATAGCCAGTACTTTCATCCTCTGCACGAGCAACAACATCCCTCCACTCACAAAGACCCTGAAACCATTTAACAAATGAATAAAGTATAAGTGGTGTATAACCTTTAAAACTGAGCATTAATCAATTGAGTTCCTCGTCTAACATAAGTACATATGACATTACTCGATAAGAAACAGATTATCAACTTATGGTTGCGCCAAATAATTTAATATTTAACTAGTCCTCTTACGTAAAAACTCATTATTTAAACATAGTTTAGAAGTAACGCACAATGAGAATCATATTGGGAAAGTAGATAAGATATACTACAATTCAAATGAAGATTAGCCAACATTAAAATTTGAACAATGTATAAAAGAAAATATGGAGGCATCTTACGGAAACAATGGCAAGCTGCTGAGAATTGAAACCCGCACCATGCAACCTGCATCGAAATAGTAAATAATATAAATTGAAGTCATTATAAAATATAAACAAAGGTAATGCATACAAAATTCCTATTCATGAACATAGTTATAGAAAGGACAAAGGAACTGGACTCCCTCCCATCATATATTCATATTTCCTCAATTAATAGTATAATCCAACAAGGTCATCTCACCAATTTAATTGATGGCACAAGATTTTTACACAATCCCTACCAACTTATATGAAACTTCTAATGGAGCTTTAATGGAGGTAAACCCTTGTTTTGATGACGGATATTTGGTACAGAGTTGTGGTGGGCTTAAACAATGAAATTCAGAAAAGATGTGCGCTCTCTGAGGGAAAAACTAGTCTAACATTAACAATGTACAAGGCATATGAACAACCTAAAAATTGCGTGTAATAATATTAAAAATCTTTAAAAGAAATTTTGGTCAACAAAACAAAAGCATGCACTAGGGAAATTGAGGATTGGGGGGATTGGAGAGGGGTCATGGCCAAGACCAGAAAAAATTACCCAAATACCAAAAATAGAAAAAGAAAAAGAAAATAAATAAATAGATAACATTTGCCCGGCCACAAAAAATAAAAGCATACCCGTATATGTGGAGATAAGAATTTTCTGTCAAAAGCTCTTTCTCATACAGATGCATACATATATCATAACTGCGTTTGTAAACCTGTCAGGAAAAAAAAAATTAAAAAAAAACTTATAATATGTAAGACAAGATAATTGGAAGAACAATTTCCTAAGATGTATCAACCAATTTACCATCAAGACATAATTACTCTATATGAAAGAATACTTAGATCACAAAATACTAGAAGGATACCTACACAATAAAACACCAACTCAAACAGTAATCCATCTGCAGATGCTATAAACAAAAGAATATCGAAATCAATATTCCAGAAGTGCTACAAAATTCGTCTTGGGAATTTAAAAACAAATAAAAGTTGGGCTGGTTTGGTATTGTTGTGCTTTGAAAAAAAAACTGCTTCTGCTGTGATGTGAGAATAAGCTCATTTTTGCTGCTTCACATTTTCAGCTTTTTTTCACCCAAAACTGTGAAATAAAGCTGTTTTTAAGTGTTTACCAAACACCTTTTTTAAGCTCAGCTTTTTTTGATACCCACTTTCACCTCAGTACCAAACTAGTATTATATATTCTAAACGCCAAGAAACATGGCTAGGGGCCAACCCAAATATGCAAATTCAATAATGAAAATACAGTCTCATATAGGCAAAACTAGCAGTTCTGTACAAAGGGTAACAATATATAAAAGTGTTAAAATTGTAAAGAATGCGAGAGCCAAAAAGAACATATTCAAAACAAAGAAGAGCATGTGATCATCATTCATACTACACCTCCACTAAAGGAGTGTCAGAGTTTTCTGATTCCTTGGGCAGCAGACATAACTGTGTTCTCATTAAATCATACATATGCAACAAATAGTGTGTATCTTCTCTGGCATATCTGTCAAGAAAAGAAAACTTCTTTAGATAAACATGGAATAAAAAAAAATTCTAAAAGGAATGGACATGAGAATGCAACATCTAAAATATCTATTAATATAAACACCCAAAAGGCGAAAATAATCATGTGAACAAGAAAGCAAAATAAATTTATGATGCATGAAGACTGCCCTTAATGCATTGCTTACTCCAAGTTTCAATTTGGACGTAATCTTAATCCTAAAACTAATTTTCGAATTACTAGAAACCGCCGCACTAGATGATCCTAAACAATCAAGTGTCAAATAACTCTAATACAAATAAGAAAGAAATTTCACGTTGTGTCGATTATAAAATTAGGATTGAACAGTTTGAGACTTATGAAATATTATCAACAGAACTAATACTAGCTGAGTTGCTCACTTAAACATATACAATTCACATTTTTACCTGACCATCTCCTCAGGCAGAGGGCGTAATCTCCAGTCTGCATTCTGGTATCTGCAGGAGAAACAGTAGTTAAAATCAAAGAAGCAACACATGAATCTATCAAATGTAAAGAGAGAAAGTTATTTAGGAGCATTTAGAAGATTAAAGAAATCGGAGTAATAGCAACAGCTTACTCTTTGTTAGCAGTAACACCACATAAGTTCTGTAGAAGATACTCCAAACTATTTCTCTCCAATTTCAACACCCTCGAAGCCTGAGGATTAAATAAATTGGTCGTCTTTGGTTAGCAACACATAATAAAGAAGTATATTTCAAGTAGAAAAGCTAAAATCGTAAGAACAAAAGTAAAAATCATGGTACTCTTTTCCAGATAAAGGAAAAGATACTAAAAATTCCTTTGCGAGACAAGAAAATCCATTCGTTCAGTTGCTTCAAAGAATCAAAGTACATCACCTGGCCAGTATCAAACAAATTGCAGATATAAATGCCAAAATCACGTTGAAGCCACATGATATCACGATCTGCTCCATGCATCACCTGATGAATTGTAAAATATTGTCAGAAAAAATCATATGCTACGAAGGTAGAAATGCAAATGGGCATGAAACAAACCTTTCTCTTGGCAGGGTCTTTGAAAACTTCCCTAAGATATGGCCCAACATGAATTCTAAGCTTCAGAGTATCTACTATAAAATCTTCGGTTCGAGTTGAAATTTGCATCAAGCAAGTCAATCCTTGAAAAGATCGATATTGATTGTGTTCCAAATCGACCTATACAGCAAAAGATAGAAGTTAAAATACAGGGGAATGAATGCCAAAATGCAAAGTTAAGTAAAATGAAATAATCATAACAATGAAATGCCAACTTCGCAATTCCATGCAGCTATGAATGAATAAACCTTTTGAAAAACTCAAATATAGGGTACACATAGGTAGCAATGTTGCGGATGAAATGGAAAAGGTTAAAAGAAGCAGAATAACTGGAAGAAAAAAAACCGATGGAAATATATGCTCACATAACAAACATCACACAAATGTTTATACAACACCAATTTGACATCAATTAATACCATGCTCAGGTTGTGCTATTTTATCACAAGCAACTGTTTGTGAGTCTAGGAATATATTCTATAATGCTATAAGTCCCTATGAATACAACCATGAATTCTACACTAAATAAAATGGATGACAGGACAGCAACATCAAATCTGCCTAATCATAGTGACTGCAAGTACAACAAAATTCTGCAGAAGCAAATAACTTTAACCATGATGGAGTTGACTGCGAAATGGAGATCAACTTTCACATAAGGAAAAAAAAAAGGATCATTGCAGTCAAATTTTACCGCAAATTCATTAACAGCACGGAGCTTAGCTGCGAGCTCTTTCAGATCTTTGACCTCCTCCACAAGCTTGAATGGCGTGGACTCTAATGAAGCCGGTTTTACAGACTCAACATCCCCAATGTTGTTGTCAACAAAATCCAGAACAGAAAGCTTCTCCTTTATTCATTAACAACACACTAATTAGAAAAAATACATACTCAAGCATACTTTTTTCTCTAAATACATACTCGTCGTTTAACAGCACAATCCCAAAGTAGTGTAAGACAAATTATCAAAAATTAAATAATTTTCAAGACCCAACATAAAATCACCCTGAATTCAATACATAAAACCCAAAACATGATCAAGTAATGACTTACTAGGGGATGAAGAAACTGTTGACCGTCCTCACTTCTCTGCAACCAAACATGCTCAAACGGCTGGTTTGCATTATTAACCAAAATGTTAAACTCCTCCTGAGGCCTCCGAATGCTCGGTATATGAAATGGCACTTTCGGCTTCGTCGCGACTGCAGTTTTCTTGTCCTTGGCAGCCACCTTCACCGCAGAGGAGACCTGACTTGAATCATCGTTTCCACTGGCGGCTGCCGATCCAGTAGACCCCTTCTTCTTCTTCCCACACACCAATTGAAACCCATCGTCTGTGTCCATAGCCGCACTCGTCGGCCGCTTGGCCTCCTCCGCCTCCTTCCTCACAATCTTGAACTCGTCCACCGACGAGTCAAACCTCTCCAGAGCCTCGTCGTTCACATTAACGAGCCAATCGTACGCGTCGTCCAAGTCGTCGGGGAAAGCCATCGGTTTCCCCCAAACAGTCGCCGACGAGCCAATCGAGCCGAGCATCGTCTGCGATTCCTTGGTGATTTGCTCGATCGGGACTCTGAATTCGTCGAAGTTGCGGTAGAAATAGAAGTCCTTGCTGTTAGGCAAGAATCGCGAGGAGCCGGAGAGCTTGGAAATCGAGGAGGAGAGAGGGCCTTTGGTCAGGGTTTGGAGGGCGTCGGACTTCGTCTGCGGCGGCGGAGATTGGTCCACGGTCACGGCGTCATGGCTCATGGCGGTTGTGCAAATGGGGGATTTTATCGGTTAGGGTTTTGCTAGGGCTTCATTTACAGTTAATTTTGCTTCCCAGGTGATCACCAATGTTTCGTTCATTGGCCGTTGTTTGTTAAACCTAAACCTAACGCCGGATGTCACGTGATATTCGTGCATGATGCACGTGATGATGAAGAATGTGCGAGTAAATTTTCAGTTTTGCCCACATAATTAATGCATGAGATTTTTGTCACACAAAAATGGAAAGTACGTTACTCGGACAAGGACAAATAAATATGCCTGTTGGCAGTGTTATGCAAAATTCGGAACCGGATCGTCTCCGGACTCAAATGAATTGAGCTCAAAAATTAAATGATTCGGACTATTAAAATTTGATATAACGGTTATAAATATGAGATCCTTTAAAAATTATAATACTTGTAGTTGTTGGTAAAAGTTTTCAAATATAAACAAGGTGCAAAATATGAAAAGATTTTCAATTTATATATTGAGGTATTTTGTTGAATCCTACATAGCGATAAATTGAAAAAATTTGTCGAGTGTTATCTACTTAACTTGTCGAGATATGACTAAGGTACATTATCTAAAACACTTTGTAAGATATAAAAGAAACTCTTACCAAACATTCAACAAGTATTCGAAAGACCTTCAAGTATATATTTTTTGAACACTCATGGCGCGTTTACGTAACGGTAATAAAAATAGGATGAATTGAATTGAGGAGGAGTTGAAATGAGAAGAAGTCAAAATCGGATTCCTGTTGAAGCGGTTTACTTAAATGTTCTGGAATCGGAATAGAATTTCATAAAGCTGTTTACTAATTCAGCAGAATCGAAATACAAACATGTATGATTACTAAAATGTCCTTGTCCCAAATCAAATATTTTATATACTTTAATGGGTTTATAAAGGATAATCTTGAAAATAGGAAAAGTAAGTGAGGGTATAACGGAAACAAAAGTATCATTCCGATTACCCAAACAATCAGGAATTGGATTACCACCTATATCTAGGAATCCAATTCCACCAACCCAAGGAATTAAATTCCAAAATTTATGTGAACCCACTGCTTTTTTTTATTCCTAAATCGGAATTCAATTCCACATTACGGATACGTAATCAAGCCATCAGTAGTTTTAGAAGTGGTACCTCTTGTCTGCGCCGCCAGCATCTGACTCCACCCTCCTTCCGTCCTTCCTCCGGCAACTGTAAGTCCTTCTTCACATTATCTTCGTCTTCTTCTTTTCCTTTTTCTTGTAAACTCATTTATGATTGTTTCTGATTTCTGATATAGTGATTTTGGATATAGGAATCAATGTTGATGGGTTTTTAGTTGATAGTTTTTTTAGGGATTTGAGGACTTTAATTACTGCCCAGTTTCTGATTTCGCATAATTCCTAACCTTTTAGGGATTCAAAAGGGTCAGTTAATAGTAAAGATGAAAGCTTTGGATGATTTCACATAAATGTCTAATTTCTAATTTCTGAATTGGGTTTGTAATTGAGCTCGGCAGCTTTGCGGATTTCAGTCCACCCGTTTTTTGAACCTGAATCCGTCCCTGCTCAATTTCGACTGCCATTTTTTGTTCTTGTTTGGAAAGGATTCATCTCCAGTGTTTGGGATGACCATGACCATGACCATCTTCTCTTACCCTTTGCACTATTGAATACATTAGGTTAGGTTCTGTTTTTCGTTCTTCGTTTTCCATTTCTGAAAATTTGTAAAAATTACTTCTGATTGTTAGCATTTTTTTGTTTTTTGTTTATGTTTTATGTATGGTGGCTTTTGTTTATAACGGCTGGACAAGTTGGTCTCCATATTTGTTCGAATTTGTCACCACCCATACATTCATTCTTCATCTACCACCACAGAGTGTACATGAACATGGAGTCCTTAGCTGTTTTCAACTCCTCACTCTCACTCTACTCTCCCTCGCATGACCACTTCATCCCAAAGAACCTTGGACCCTTCCGTACGACATCATTGCAACCAATGCATAAGATGGAGGTCCGATGTGCTGCCCAGGCCCAATCCACTGAAACCAAGTCCAAGGAGGCCAAGCTCTGGGGCGGCCGCTTCGAGGAGAGCGTGACTGACGCTGTCGAACGATTTACTGAGTCCATCTCCTTCGACAAAGCCCTTTACAAGCATGATATCATGGGCAGCAAGGCTCACGCTTCCATGCTAGCCAAACAGGTCATTCCTCTTTTCTCATTTTTTTGGTTTTTTAAGTTTTATTTTTCCAGGTTCTGTTTGGTCTGAGGGGAAGCTTTATTTTTTATTATGTTTAGGGATTGATTACTGTTAATGACCGGGATAGCATCCACAAGGGGCTGAGCGAGATAGAAAGGCTAATTGAGAGTGGCAAGTTTGAATGGAGGACCGACAGAGAAGATGTGCACATGAACATTGAGGCAGCGCTGACTGATTTGATCGGCGAACCGGCTAAGAAGCTCCACACGGCTCGGAGTCGAAACGATCAGGTTTTGACAGATTTTCGATTGTGGATCCGAGACGCGATTGATGCAATTGGAGTGAAGATTAAGTATCTTCAATTTTCGCTCGTCAAATTGGCAATGGAGAACGAGGGTGTTATCGTTCCTGGTTACACGCATTTGCAAAAGGGCTCAGCCTGTTCTGCTTCAGCATTTGCTCTTGGCGTTTGTTGAGCAGGTTTGTATCTGTATGGCTTTGCACGATGCAATTCTTTAATTATTAACATATATTTATATGGTTTGTGGCCCTTGTATTGTGGTAGTTGCTATGCAATCATACCTTGTTTGTAGTGTTTATAGTGGCTTGATAGTTGGTTTGTGTATGAATTTGTCAATTAGTTGTTATTACCATGTTAAAATTGAAAATGTTGGTTGCTTATGGAGTACTTTTCTTTGCTGTAGTATATCCTCGGCCTTCGGAAGAGACTAATTTTGGCACTTTTTCTTGTTATGTAGCTTGAACGTGATGCTGGCCGTTTACTAGATTGTAGAGTGAGGTTGAATTTCTGCCCCTTAGGTGCTTGTGCATTGGCCGGCACTGGACTTCCGATTGATCGGTTTATGACCTCTGATGCTTTAGACTTTACTGCTCCTATGAGGAACAGGTACGTCCCTTGGTTTGACTTTGACTCTTTGGTTGGGATCGAAGTTGACTTGTGCTAGTGTGCGGCAGCATAGAGCTATGTTGCCTTTCTGTTTCATTGGTACTTTGCAAATGATGTTATATACTGGCCAATAGTTAACACATTAGTCAATTACTTCATGGCATTCTCATGTTGTCCCCTTTTCCCGTTTTTCCTTCCAATGCATGTGAGACTTTGCAACATACATGATTATAGTTGGGAGGCCCTAAGTATGGTACAAACAGTAGTCCCTCAAGTCTTCAGTTAAGAGAGTCTTTTGGCTGGAGACTTGAAATTCAGTCCATGTGTGGGCCGAAGTAACTAGATGTCGTCTAGAACTGAATACTCGATATGAGGCGGTGCTCAATGTGAAATGATGCTCAACTAGAAGTAGCACATGTTGCGAAGCTGCTCGGCTTGTGGCTTATGTTGCCTTGGTTGGCTCGGCTTATCTTTTCCTTTAACTTAGGGTTGATGATTATTTTCCTTTTTTTCTCTCATTAACAATCCACTATTGGAAAACGCAATTGTTCAACTCATACATTCATCACCCCTTTGCTGTGATGCCATACAAGTACATTAGGTATGCCCAATGAGGTCAGTTTAATGAGTGTTAGTGGTTTGTGGTGCCATCTGTTGGGTCTAAATCTTGTCTTCTGGTTGGTCGTGTATTACATGCTTCTTTTTTGGTTTTCACCGATTAATAATTAGTTTCTTTTCTTAATATAGTATTGATGCAGTGTCAGACCGAGATTTTGTCATGGAGTTTCTTTCTGCTAATGCCATCACAGCCATTCATCTCTCCCGGCTTGGTGAAGAGTGGGTACTGTGGGCTTCAGAGGAGTTTGGATTTGTCACGCCAAGTGACAAGGTTTCAACAGGAAGTAGTATCATGCCTCAGAAGAAAAATCCAGATCCCATGGAACTTGTTCGTGGAAAGTCCGCTAGAGTAGTAGGAGACCTGGTTACCCTTCTCACATTGTGCAAAGGACTTCCCCTTGCTTACAATCGTGATTTGCAGGTATAATCTTTTCTCTTCTTTTTTGAATTCACATGCAATCAGCACAGAAAGGCAAGGGTCTAGTTGGGTCTGTTCACTCTTTACGTTCTTGGGCCTGCAGCCAAGGTCTTAGTTGGATATTGCATGCATATTACTTTACTTATACACGAACACAATGCTACATAAAAGGATCTATTCCGCTTGCACTTACAGTGTATAAAAATTCATTGGTCTTTTTACTAATCCTGCAATATTTTGAGTATGATTGCGGAAGGTTCTTTTCTTTTCCCCTTGAGACAGGAAGATAAGGAACCTGTCTTTGACAGCGTGAAGACAATATTGGGGATGCTTGAAGTATCTGCAGAGTTTGCACAGAACATTACCTTTAACAGGGAGAGAATACAAAAGAGTTTACCTGCTGGTCACCTTGATGCCACAACGCTTGCTGATTATCTTGTGAAAAAGGCAAGTTCTGTTGACTAGGGAAAGAAAAGAAAAAATAAAGGGGAGAGCACTCCGTCTTTTCATACCCGCAATGTTTCTCACACAAGTTCTCCAAGGTGAAAAAGAATCCATGGGCTCAAATTGACAAAAAACACCCTGATTACTAAATACATTTTTCTTTTTTCTTTTTTTTCAGGTTTGACACAAGTTTTAAAATAGTAAGAAATGTGCTTAGAGATGTTCGACATGTATCATATTTTCTTATCACATTTTATATCATATTTAGATGTTTCATATGAAGTGATGTGGAACTACTTACAACCTTATGTGCATTTTGCACGAGATTTACATTCGTATCAAATTAGTGTCCAAAAACTAAATTTGATTAGTGAAGGAGTCAAAATTTTATCGGGAGCCTGATAGTTAGAGAAGCTTCGAACCTCATGACCTTCAACTACCATGCCTCAACCCTTAATCTTCTCCTTTAACTTTGTATTTGTGCTCATGTGTTTACCATCACGTGACATTATATAATTAATCAATGATAGAAAATTTTCATATAGTATATTTATGTTTTGGCTAAATTTTTTATCATATATTTATATTTTTAGTTTGTACCCATTTTTAATTTGCAACCTTTTTTTAAATTTGTAGTATTTTCTTTTTAGTTTTAATTTGTACCCATGTATTAATTTTTTTTTTTTTGCGCCCATATTTTTTAAAATTTCATTTGTACTCATAATTTTTTAATCTTTTATTTGTACCCTAATTTATTTATAATGTACTCATTCTTCTTTATTAATGTACTACTTTGTTATATGTGAAATGTACCAATTTTTTTTAACACTATGGATACATTCTTTTGCCATTTATTATTTCTTATTGTTACATAGTTTTTATCCATTTATTCAATCAAAATGTTTGAATTTTTTTATTGTAGCTGTTTCTAATAGTATTATAATGAGAGATTTTAAATTTATAGGATTATAAATCTCATAAAATATCAAACAATTAATGTCAAAAATATAAATATTAATAATAATATAATGAGGTGTACAAAGTCAATGGACTATGATCAAACTTTGAATACCATTAAGGTTTTAGTTAAAGAGTGTTAGAGACTAGGGATCGCATCCAAAGTGTGACAGCCCGTCCCTAAAAATTATGGTTTTTTGTAATTTTATAAGTGTGAATTTACAAAAATGCCCTAGAGGTGAAGGTGTTGACTTTCATTGACCAATGTGTAGTGAGATGTACTAAATATTCTTTTAGCGTATTCCTGAAGTACTCGACGATATGAACAAATAAGCGCAAGCAGAAGTGAATTTGGACTTACGAACCGAAAGTATTTTGAAGAAATAACTATTCTATTTATATTATATTAATGTATGCTAAATTAGGAGGACGTGTGTGTGTGTGTGTGTGTGTGTGAGTGTGTGTGTGTGTGTGTGACGGAAATGGGGAAGAAAAAGAAAAGGAATGGGGGAGAAGAAGAAAGGAGGAGAAGGGAAGGGCTGCTGCCCAATCAGGAAGAGAAGAGAAGTGAGGGACCAACTAGAGAAGAAAGCAAGGAGGAGAAAGGAGGGAGAAAAGAAATAGGGGAAACCGGGTTTCCCTCAACCTGTGACCCGACCCGGTGGATTCTCCCATCTCCGGCCACCTTGGACGAGAAGTTAGTGTCAAAATGACCCTTACCACGAGGCCAACCAATCCCTCTTCCATTTACATGTGGAAATTGGGTGGAAATTGGTGAATTTTGGGTAAAACCGTGCAAAAATGGGGCGCACGGGTTGGGTTTCATTCCGCCATGATTGGAAGCTAACTCCTCCAATTACTACTACAAATAAACTCCCCTCAACCTCAGGAACAAAGCCCAAACACTTATGGAGGCGTTGGAGTAAGCATGGAGGTCAAATCGAAGCACACCATCTTTAGGGTTTCCGACGAATTTATGTAAAATTGAAGCTCTCACCGGCCAAATTGTCCTTGGTCACAGGTATGAAAGTTACTCTACTCATTGAGATCTTCATTCATGTAAATTTTGATAATTTTTTGAAATAGTTGGATTTTCCAGCGAGTCGGGGCGGCCGACTGCCACCTGCAGCCGCACGTGCGGCGGCACATGGCCAGGAGACTGTCGATGCTACTTTTAAGATAAATTAAATGCCTTGAATTCAGTTTTGATATCCAAATGTCATAGGTTGATCGTTTGAATCAAATTTTGTTACGATACTTGGTTTAGCCAAAATATGAATCGACGATTCGACTGTTGGATCGTTACCAAACTTGGATACATTATAATACGTAATATTTAAGGATCATAGGAATTTACGGATTGGGAATCCGAAGTATGGATCTTCCCGAATTGGATTTGTAAGTTTGTAAAATAAATGTTAACCGCCACTTGGTTTTGGGCAATTGGCGGAGATCCGACCGTTGGATCGTAATGAAAATTTAGTATGTTATTCTAGAAGCATAATGTGTATCTTTGGAGGTTTCAGATTGGAAATCTGAGATGCAGATCTTTTCGGATCGAGTTTTGCAGGGTTGTGGACCCAACCGTCGATCTTTGATCGACGTTTGACTTGTGGTCAATGGGTCTCAAACTATTTTAGAATGTCCTTAAGGATGTGCTTTATGTGAATTACGTATTCTATTGATAAGAGTTCTGAGATGTGGTTCTATAATTGGTCACAGGCGCTAATCGTTCGGGAGGCCTTGATGTGCGTGCTAGAGAATCATAGCAAGCACTCCAGGTGAGTGGGTCTTTTTCTTTTTGTCCTATGTATATAATTGATAGTTCCAAAAATGCTTCTAAATTGATTTATGCATGTTACCTACAAATAATTATTGTGAACTACGATTGGCTTAATCCCTGTTTAGGGTACGTAGGCAGTCTAACGAAATGTTAGATGCAGCCATACAATAAATGAGACTAAATAATTGAGACAATAGCCTTGTTTGGGGAATTGAGCAATGTGAAGGAGATTGGTGGAAAATGTGAGATTTAACCTTATGTTTTAGTGGTTAAATGTTAATTATAAATGTGTGAAGAATCGTAAGATTGAAGTGAAAAATAGTTAGTAATGATAGTTAATTAAGCTAGTGTTTAGTTGGGCTTATTACTGATAATTATTTCTGAAGGTAATTAGTTCGGGAGTAAGGCAATACAGCTTATGCATTTTATGCCATTTTTATATATGTTTATATGTTTGGAAATATTATGATATGGTTGAATTTCAGATTTACATCCTGGTATATTCACATGTATGTTACTTACACATAATTAAAGGTGAACGCTCTGAAGTGCAAAGGTGAACGTAAGACACGCAGGTAAGTTCAAGTAAGTTTATGGTATTAATTGAAATGATGGAGTTATGGTATGACTACATTTATGTTTTAGGCAACTCCGACCTTATCGTATAGGTTGCCCATGAGTCGTACATGTTATATTAGATGTAGTTAGAGCTCATAAACTTGCACCACGGTGTTAGTGCTCCCGCCCGTGGCCAAGGCACAGTCATTCACGTGATGTTCACCTCCCGCACTTTACACTCACCTTGGATCCAAGGTAGGTGCATAGTCCTGTCGTACAGACCACCATAGGTGGTTCCGACTTGTAGGTGACCCGTGATTATTCGCATAGTCTTCATGTGATAGTAGCACTTAAGGGTATTTATTTACACCCAGTCCTGTCGTACAGACCATTTTAGGTGGTTCCGACTTGTGTGCAGGTATACTTATTGAGCTATGGATAAGTCGTACAGGTTACTGGAAGTGACTCCAACTTATGAAATGCTAGCATATATGATGAGATATGTTATGAGCTAGCATATATGATGAGATGTGTGATGAGCTAGCATATATGATGAGATATGTTATGAGCTAGCATATATGATAAGATATATGAAGAGATGCTAGCATATATGATAAGATATGTGATAAGTTAGTATATATGATGAGATATGTTATGAGCTAGCATATACGATGAGATATATGATGAGATGCTAGCAATATGATGAGATATGTGATGAGCTAGCATATATGATGAGATGCTAGTATATATGATGAGATATGTTATGAGCTAGCATATATGATGAGATGTGTGATGAGTTAGCATACATGATGAGATATGTTATGAGCTAGCATTATGATGAGATATGGTATGCGCTAGCATATGTGATGAGATATGGATAAGTCGTACAAGTCACTAAAGGTGACTCCGACTTATAAGCTAGCCTTGATTGATGAGATATGGATAAGTCGTACAGGTCACGTAAGGTGACTCCGGCAAGCGTGTGATGAGATATTGATTCAATCGTACATGATAGGTGGATTCGGCTAACATGCCATTTCATATTGGTTTGTTTCACCTGGGTTACTTATTCTTGTTAAGATATTTGACGTGGCATAACTGTAAGACTATTATTTTGGTTATGGTTTTGATTTATAGTCACGCTTGTTATTTTATGGGAAATTATACAGGTATTACGGCGAGGGGCTACTACCTTTGGTAGTTGGAATTGGTTTGAAAAGTTTTTTTTTTACTCACTCACATTTTCTATTTTTGTACCCCTCCAGGTTCTAGTAGCAAAAGTTCCGTATATCGAGGATTCGTGGCACTTTTCAGCACAGGATGTCTTTTTATGATGGTATAATCATTATCTCACCTCATTATACTATACCTATACTCTGTATCATGCATGAAATGGGTCCAAATCCTCTCACTAGGCACTCATGTACTTAGGCACTTTTAGATTTTAATTTATTCACATTTTATACATTATCACACTTTATGGCTTCGTCACCTTCCAGATGTCGACCAGCACGACCCGATTCAGGATCCTAATGGACATTCCGAGTCGAGGTGTGTCACAAAGTATCCTCAATCAATATTTTCTTTTGAACAAAACTTCAATTATTATATAGTTAAGGTTGGTGAATTTCATGATATAATAGCCCCAAACCCAATTAAAAACAAGAAGAAAAGTTAGAATCATAAGGGTATTTTGGACCATAAAAAGTTGGTTCGAAGGTGGCAGCTCCTCAATTCCACAATTCCACGTGAACATATTCTTCATGGCTGTTTCTGTAACCCCCTCCACATATTAAAACCAGAACCCTCCAATTATAGTAAAAGCCAGATCTCACTCTCTCTGCAGAAACATTAAGAACCCGCAAGGAAGAACAAGTCCAAACTCAAATTCAACACCAACATAAAAGATTTTGGTCCCTAAAACCCGATTGTTTAGAATCTTGTCCCGGTCCAGATTCAGTTTTGATATACCAGTACTGCATTTCCTCACTGCAGAATAATTTCAGGAACTTCCGGTTGGCTGGCTGAAAGGATATGGTGATCCGCTTCCATTGTTAGAGCTTCTTTCAGTCCTCTATCTCCCTCACGACGTGGATGCTATGGAGGACATGTGAAGGCTAGGGTTAGTTCTTTGAGGTAATTAATCTCTAATCTTTTCTGGGTTCTTCTAAATTTTGTTAATTATAAATGCATTGGCTTCGCCCATGAGCGGTAGGTCTCGGGTTCGAGACTTGGGAGCAGCCTCTCCATAAAATGGGGGTAAGGCTAGCCGACATTCACCTCTCCCAGACCCTGCGTAAAGCGGGAGCCTTGTGCACTGGGTACGACCTTTATAAATGCATTGGCTTCATCCCCACATTTCTCAACGAGAAGTAAATAATTTTAGAGAGATATGTAAATATGATTTTTGCATTCCAAATTTGCATCTTGCCAATTGAGATGCTCTTAGGGCATAAATAGATTTGGAACCCTTAATTATTTTTCTGGACTTCCTTGTTAATTTGGCTACTTTTGGTAATGTTTGTTTAAACCAAAAACATAAATCATTGAAAGAGAATTGTTAGCAATATTTGCAGGAATAATATTAGGGAGATCAAAATTTTAAACCAAATTTGCATTACCCTATTTGCATTAATCTTTGCATTTAGACCCTTTCACCATTTTCAAATGACACATGTCATTTTTTGTAAAAAAAAAAAAAAAAAAAAAAAAAAAAGTTTTAACGAAACACTTCAGGTACTGTTTACTTTTAACGAAAATGACATTTTTACTCTAAAAAATCAAGTCATTCCTGATATCATTCACTTACAACACAGTTTTGTCTTTTTTATTAAAACTCAAAGTTTTAAAGTATTTTTCATTAATTTTTTCTATAAAAAAAAAAGTTCAATGTTTTTTGACATCATATTTTTTGTTTTTCATTAGCCAAAAGCATTTAAAGATCTCGTTTTTTGTGCAAAAAATTACATAAGTCATTTGATAAAGTGAGAAGATCCAAATGCAAAGTTTAGTGCCAAATTTACTTGCACTCCCATCTTTGAAAAATCATAACATTTGGGCTATTAATAGTTCGATCCGGTGAACGGTAGTCAGAAAATAGTCTATGTGGTAAATAAATTAGGATTTAAACTTCTGTAGTGAAGTTCGTTAGGATCTAGATCCAAAATTGAAAGTTTCGTCAACTTTTCATTAATTGTTAGCACGTAACACTCACATGTGAGATTAATTTGTCTTTTTATTTCTTTAAACTCATTATGCGCTCAACTTCATACCTTTGAACTGGGATGGAACTGAAATCGTCTATTGAGATATAGAGTCGAACAATGAAACCAAGAAGTCGAATAAGATGGGTGTCAGGATTCTCCGTGAGAAATCTAAGAGGGTTGTTGAAATTGTTTAAGCTCACTGAAGTATTGAAAGAGGTTTTCCAGATGAAATTTTTTTGTTTTAATTTTTAATTGATGTTGTTTTTGATGAGTTTGTAAAATTTTAATTAAACCTTTGATTATTATTTGGTTCATTTGGTTTTTATACGCCTTCCTTGCCGTGGAAGGGTTTCTTTTCAAGCAGAACCCAACTTATGAGAAGACCAACTGGAGAAAAGAAAAAAAGAAAAATCTAGAACACCACCACACCTACAAGACTCATAGAAACATCACCTAAAGATCTCAAAGTATGGATTAATGTCTTAGAATTATGGTAAGACGTCCCCTTCCACTCTTTTACCAGTCATTGATGTGGGCGTGGCTATTCAAACACGAACCAAATTTCTTTGATTTCAATCCAATTTGCCATAATCTCAATTTCCAATTCAATTTCAAACGACAAATGTAAATGCCACATCATGTTTCATCATTTTTAGATTAGAGGAATGATGAATGGATTTTTATTTCAATTTTGGGCTTAAATTTGAACAAACTTCACCACAAGAGTTTAAAATTCTAATTTTTTTTTACTAGAGTTGTCTTCTAACTACCTTATCACCACATGAATATTAATCAACTAAGGATGTTCAGATGTTTGTTATGATTGAAAACGGTTGTTTTTGTTTGAAGACATCATTTTAATTAGTGTCAAGTCATTTGTCTCACATCGTTGGTTAACTTGAGAAAAATTATGATGACTCTAGTTAAAGAATTTTGTGATTTCGTAACTAATTAGAGTTTTGAGTCTATGAGTTTGTTTTAATAACACTGTCGGCTCTAAGTTTCTGTTAATTAACTAATTAATCACGATAATCTCTATCCAGGAAAAGTAGTTAGAAGATGTCCTAGAACTCCAAACACAAGACAAAAATTTACAGGTTTGTTTTGGTAGAAGATGTTAAGGCAAAAAGGGATTAGAAAAATAATTTAAGTGCGATTAATTCCTAAACAGATTATAGCAAGGCGGATGGTTTAAAGCTAGGGATGGTGATAATCTTGTCAGTCGGGTGAGCCAAGGCAAAACCATTGAAATCAACATCCAATTAAAGTACCAAAAACCGTTTTGGTTCCAAGTACAAAGACCGAGACATAATGGTAGTTGTGTTTTGGTTTCATCTCCATAAACTGATGACACGTAAGAGTTACAGTGCTTGCTAGATGTTCGACAACGGTTCTTTTGGTTTTGAGGGGTTTAAGAAATGAGAAAGTAAAAGTTCGTTTAATGATCATTTCATTTTTTTTTTATTTTAAGTTTTTATAGTTTGTATTAAGGATACTCTGATAAAAAAAATATACATAGGTTAAATGAGGAATTTGGAGAAATGAGGAATGAAGAAGAGCGGATGAAGAATAGTGAAAAAAATTATAGAGAATCTCAATTTTAAATAAGGAAACTTTAACGAAAAGCACTTGGTACTGTTCACTTTAACGAAAAACCACATTTTTACACTAAAAAGTCAATCCTGGTACTATTCACTTTACCCTTTATTTTGTCCTTATCATTAAAACTCAAAGTTTTCAAGCCCTTTTCATTAGTTTTCCTTTTAAATAATGATTGACGAATAGGATTTGCTCCAATGCAATCTCATTTTAAGCATAGAAAGTTGCATGGTTTTTCCCGCCATTTTTGTCCCTACGCATGTGGGTTCGTAGTTTTTGTTTTTGTTTTTTCGCAGAATATTACAAGCTAATGGATTTATTATGTTCCTCGAATTTCACAGTCTTTTGTCAAGATTATAGCTATATTTTGTCTAATTATCATGTCAAATGACTTCAAAACCCTTACCATAAAACGCATTATTCCAAGATTGGTAATTAGTCTTGTGCACAAAATCGTAATTCAGCAAAGCACTGTTGTTAATGAGGAGCTTGGAGCTGATTAGTGTATGATTATAAAAGTCCATTACCATAAGCAGATTTGCTTTCAAGAACTCGGCCAAAAAAACAAATAATTCTGAGTTCTTAGCTAACAAGAAGTTTGAATATTTTTCCAGGAAAACCCTTCATTACTTGCAGTTCTGGTGCAATCATGGCATGCAGTTCACCAGTTATTCCTACCTCGGCCGCTTCCGCCAGGACGGTAGACATTTTCAAAGAGCACAATGGTCTCCGCCGGTCTAACTCCAGCCAAGACCTTTACATTCGTGCTACTATGCGGAGGTCTTCTTCGGACAACCATCTTTGTTGCCGCATCAATCGTATCCACGCAGCAGCAACGGAACCAAAACTAAAGAACAGTCGTTCCATGGGGATTTTCCCGTTTCAGTTTTCGAGTTCCATTCTCCCAAACTCGGTGAGATCATTCTTTGATCCAGACACGAGTAATCATATGAGCATAGCGGAGAAGGACATGAGTACGGAGAACTCTGGGGAGAGTGCCAGTGAGGAGAGAAAAAGAACCAATTGGGTGGAGAGACTTGTAGAAATCAGAAGTAAATGGAGGAATAGGCAGAAAAAGGACGATGCGGATGAAGAGAGCGTCTGTGAAGCGGGTGAAAATGGTGAGTGTGAATGTGGCAGTGAGGAGGGTGGCTGTGCGGTGGATTATGCTGCAGAAGACGATGAGGGAGAAATCAGTCCTGAAGTTTTTCGGAGGTTTTTGGTTCGAGTGCCATGGTTTGATACCAAGCTGTTTTCCAAGTTATCCTTCTTATGCAACATGGCCTATGCGATACCACAACTCAAGGTACGTTCTTATTCAGCATATTTCACAAATTGAGCTTCGATATTTCTAACAAGATTAATAAATTCATCTGCTAACTCGTGCAGGAAAATGATTTAAAGAGATATTTTGACCTACAATTAGTAACAACTTCACTAGAAAAGAAAGCCGTAGAAGATGAAATCAAAGCAAAACTAGATGACGACTCTAATCGTGTACCTGTAGCTGCTGAAGGCGCTAGTGAATCCAGTTCGGAGAAAGCTGTAGAATCTGAGTACAAGCGTCCATGCCGTCCTGCTGTTGCTTACAATATCGCTGCCTCAGCCGCATCTTATGTGCGGTCACGCGATAAGGATAGCATGCCACCCAGGTCCAAATTGCAGCAGGAGGGTGATGGTGAAAATTCCCGAGAGGAAGGAGGGTACTCACCTCGAAGCTACAAGCCAGAGGTTGCAGTTTCCATGGCAGCATCAGCAATGACAGCAATGGTTGCAGCAGGGGAAAAGGAGAAACAAGAAACAGCAGAGGACCTTCAGTCACTCAACTCCTCACCTTGTGAATGGTTTGTCTGTGATGATTCCAGTACGTATACTCGTTGTTTTGTGATTCAGGTAAACTTTCTGCCCTTCATCCCACTAGATCTGTGTTTGATAATAGCTCCCCAACAGCCTTTCAAATCCAATTGTGGGATTAAATAGGCTGATTTCATGTGGCAAAATCATTCTGATTTCTGAATCAAAGAGATACCGAGTAACATACTTGTAAATGCTTTGACATGCAAATTGTTCTTACCTGCAGGGTTCCGACTCCCTCGCATCCTGGCAGGCAAATCTTTTCTTCGAACCTACGAAATTTGAGGTAAGGATAGATA